GATCTCTGTGAGTTTGAGCATGGTCAACAGAGTAAATCCTAGAACAGCTAAAGCTATACAAAACAAAAAACAAAACAAAAAACAAAAAAAAAAAAAAAAAAAAAACAACCTTGTTGCAAAAAGAAACAGGGGTGAGGTGAGGCGGGGAGAGAAAGCCTATTATCAGACCCCTGGCAGTCCTGGAACTTACTTTGTAGCCCAAGCTGACCTTGAACTCACTAAGATCTGCCTACTCTGCCTCCTAAATGCTGGGATTAAAGGCATGCACCACCACTACATTACCTGGTTCTAGGTTTTCGTTTTCTCTTTTTTTCTTTTTATTTGATGTGCACATTCGTCTGTGTGAAGGTGTTGGATCTCCTGGAACTGGAGTCACAGACAGTTGTGAGCTGCCACGTGAGTGCTGGGAATTGAACCCAGGTCCTCTGGAAGAGGAGACAGTGCTCCTGACCACTGAGTCATCCCTCCAGTCCCCAAATTTTTTTTCCTTTTGATTTGTGTGTGGGTGTACACATGAACGATGCCAGAGGACGACTTGAGGAAGTCAGTTCTCTCCTTCCACCAGATGGGTTCTAGGAATAGAACTCAGGTTGTTAGGCTTGTTGGCAAGTACCTTTACCTGCTGAGCCATCTTGCCAGCCCTATTTCCTCTGAATTGAGATAGTCCCTACTGGGCTGGTAAGAGAGGTTCAAAAGATTCAGGAAGCTAAAGATGAGCCCTTCTGGTGGGCTGTGATCTTTAGAAGGTCGGAGAGGTTCCAACAGATCTGAGTGGGTTAGATTGGTATGTAAAGTGGGTTTAGGAGGTTCTACCGCATCCAGAAGAGGATGAAATGGGGAAAAGAAGATGGCGGAAGCTTGCTGGGTCACTTAAAAGAAAATATGGCAAGGACTGCATGGAGTCAGAATTTTAGAGAAAAACATGGACGGCTAAATCCAGTACCTGTGAGCAAGAGGTCATCAGAGGGACAGAGGAGTGAGTGACGGAGTGAAACAGGCGAAGGAGTAAGCTTGCCGCGGGGCTGGGTAACGGATCCACCCAGACAGCACACTGTGTTCATTTTTCCCCACAAGAAAGCTGAGCTGGGCAGTGGAGGCGCACACCTTTAATCCCAGCACTGAGAAGGCAGAGGTAGGCGATCTCTGAGTCCCAGGGCAGCCTGGCCAATAGAGTGAGCCCCAAGACAGCCAGGGCTACACAGAGAAACCCTGTCTCAAAACAAAACAGAAACAAACAAAGAAAAGGGACAAAATTATCCTAGGACTGAAGGTTGTTGGCTTAGCCTGGGACCCCGGCAGCCAGGTACGGCTGATGAAAGGACAATGACGCTGCCAGGTTTGGGGACTCAGCGCCAGTGGCAGGCATGGCAGACAAGAGCATAACCTTGACTCTGAGCTAGGACAAGCTGTACGTGCCAGTTGGACAAATCCAGTCAGGGGTGGGGAGATGTGTGGTAGCCCTGCAGCAGCACCCCAGGACGACGGAAGTGGGGTGGCTCGTGGAGAATGGCTGTGGGTTAGAGAGTTAAATAGGGCGGCATTCCTCTGCAGCCAGCATTTCTCCTGATAAAGTAATCCAAGTAATGAGTTCTTTTCATGCTGCATTGGATCCTGCTGAATCCCAAGACCAACTGGCATTTGGTAGTAAGCCTTTAGAGACCTCTCTTTGCTGAATTTTTTTTCCCATTATACAACGGTAACCCTGGAGTATTTTACAGATTAGAGAAAGCATCTAGAAGGGCAGTAGAAAATAGCACTTAAAGTCTTTAAAGGAACACTCACTTAGCAGGGGAGATACCATGATGAGGCAAGTAGTTTCCCAGGGCAAGGCTCATCCATGACACTTCATAGGTGCTGACTCCAGCAATTTCCCCAAATTCAAGAATTTCAGATGCATAGCTTGTGGTAGTAAGGACTGCATTTACTCCTTCAAAAAAAAAAAAAGTTTAAAGAAGACGCCCTGCATACACGGAAGCAGGCACTTCCAGAAGGCATAGTGTCCTTGGGTGAAAATCTCAGGGCCATAGGTGGGCTACCTCCCTACGCACTATAGGCCAGGGAGCCTTCTAGTGTCCACAAACACTAAAGCTAGTTTCACATGTACTCCACAGGGTAAAATGCTTGCCTCACAAGCAGGGTGATCTGAGTTCAAGTCCCCAGGACCCACATAAAAATGGTGGTGGCAGTGTGTATCTACCCAAGTGCTGGGGAGCAGGGGGAATGATACAAATGAATGCCCGAAACTCAGTGGCCACCCCAAATTGATGGACTCCAGCTTCAGTGACATACTGTCTCAAACATGTATGTGTGTGTTTATATGTGTATATATTTGCATACAAATATATGCAATATATACATACGTAGAAGCCAGGCATGATGGCACACACCACTAATCCCAGCACTCAGGAGGCAGAGGAAGGAGGATTTCTGTGAGTCTGAGGTCAACCTGGTTTACCCAATGAGTTCCAGGACAGCCAGGGCTACATAGTAAGACCTGGACTCAAAACAATGATAATAATAGTGTGGAGAGAAATTGCAGAAAACACTTGGCATTGACCTCTGCCTCCATAAGCTTGCACGCTTTCATGTACATGCGCACACACAAACACATACAGTGCAGCACACACAAACACATACAGTGTAGCACACACAAACACATACAGTGTAGCACACACAAACACATACAATGTAGCACACACAAACACATACAGTGTAGCACACACAATCCAGTCCAGCGTTTGGAACTGTAAGCTGGGGCTGAGACCTGTGGTTGAGGTGGTGGATCATGGGCCCTAGCAAGGAAGTAATTGCTGTTATGGATATGTCAAACTGAATCCTGAACATTCACGTCTGTATCCACAGATTCCTACTAAGTTAGCCCCGGTCAGGGAGAAACTTTTTTTCTGAAGTGGGTGGTGGTTACTGCAGACACTCAAACAACCAACCTACTGTGAACAAGAGGCTATTATTGCAGCCTAGTGGCCTAATGCTCAGCCATAAATGGAAGATAATCGCGTTGCAGAAGAGGGGGCAGAAAGGATGTAAGGGCTGGTGGAAGGGGTGAAGTGTTATGTAGCTACTAGCTACAAGACTAACATAAGACACACACACATACACACACACACACACACCTGCCGCCCAGTTAGATAAACGGTAAACAGTTGCTAGGAGGAACTACCTGGGAGCTGCAAGGACTCAGTGTTTTTTTGGTTTTTTTTTTTCAGGGGAGGGGGATGTTTTGTTTTATTTTGGTTTCTGAGACAAGATTTCTCTGTGTAGCTCTGGCTGTCCTGGAACTAGCTTTGTAGACCAGGCTGGCCTCAAACACAGAGATGCAGGCATGCACCACCATGCTCCGCAGGACTCAGCTCTTAGGAGCTGTCACTCATGCTGGGCTGGGCTTTTGTCAATGCCTTGCTCTTGTCGAGCAGCTCCTCCCCTACCACTCCTGCTCTAACCTCAGTGAGTCCTCCGCTCTCCAAGCTGGCCTTGGGAGGAACCGCTTCTTGGTTCTGCTGTCAGTGCTCTCAGATGGAAAGGCGTTTGTTCACGTCTCTCTAGGAAAAGTCATGTGATCGCAGTGTTTGTGGACGAGATGAAGTGATGTGCGGTGCCCAGCAGTTACTGAAGGTGACACGACTCTGCTATTGGCTCATATATTTTTACCATGCTATGCTATTTTATGATGCTATGCTATGTTGGAGCACATCTTCTATTTATTCAGAAACCTGTTTACTGAGCGGGGTGGTGGCACATGACTTTAATCCCAGCACTTGGGAGTCAAAGACAAGTGGATCTCCAAGTTCTAGGACAGCCTGATCTACAGAGTGAGCTCCAAGACAACCATTTCTACACAGAGAAACCTTGTCAAAAAAAAAAAAAAAAGAAAAGAAAAAGAGAAAGTGGGGGGAGTGGGAGGGTGTTGGGAGGAGGAGCAGAAATGGAAACTTTTATAAATTAATAAACTTTTATAAATTAAAAAAAGAAAAAGAGAAAGAAAAAAGAAAGAAAGAGAAAAAAGAAAAGAAAAGCAAAACCTCTTTAATCGACTAGGGTTGTGGCTGAGTGATTGAATGTTAATCTAGAACATACAAAAGCCCTCTTTTACTTCTGGTATTACAAAAATTAACTAAATAAAAATGTTTATTGTACAAGACACCAGCTCTGACGTCATACATCTCATGTTTTTCATGTCTCTTGTTCACATTAGGCCATGTGGGGCTAAGCGACATCATCTAGGACTGGGTAAATACACACGTCACTGTTCTCATTCTGATGAAGCTGCTTCATGATGGATTTCCCAGAATGCACCCTGCCACAAAGTGACTCGGGATTGAGTAGGTTATCTCTAACATTCTGATAGTTCGTTACTTCTTTTTCATTTTAAAAACTTTTATGTGAAGCCGGGCTGTGGTGGCGCACGCCTTTAATCCCAGCACTTGGGAGGCAGAGACAGGTGGATCTCTGTGAGTTCGAGGCCAGCCTGGACTACAAGAGCTAGTTCCAGGACAGGCACCAAAAAAACTACAGAGAAACCCTGTCTCAAAAAAAAAAAAAAAAAAAAATCAAAAAAAAAAAACTTTTATGTGTATGGGTGTTTTGCCTCCATGTATGTCTGCTTGTGTATCTGATGCCTGCAGAGGCCAGGACAGCATTTTGAACACCCTAGAGCTGAAGTTACAGATGGTTTTGAGTTGCCATATGGGTGCTGGGAATTGAACCTGGGTCCTCTGGGAAAGTGCTCTTAACCACTGAGATGTCTCTCCAGCCCCCCCACCCCCACCACACCAGTTACTTTTAAAACCATTATTTTCCCGTTCTCCAAAGTTAGCCACTGATTTGACTCCTATAATTCTATGACTTCTAGATTTAAAATGATTTAATTAGCATAGGACAAACACCTCAAAATTTGTAATACACAGCCCTTTGTTTTATTGTTTGTTTTGAGACGCGGTCTCGCGTAAGCCCAGGCTGACCTGGGATTCACGGTGTAGCTAAAGACAACCTTGAACTCCTGATCTTCCTGCTTGCTTCCTCCTCCCCCGTGCTGGGATTCCAGGCCTGTGCTTTTTGTGCCCTTCACTGGTGTTCGTGTGTCTGGCAAAGCCGCTGCCTCTGCCATCCTTACGGAGTGACGTTCATAGAGAGTAAGGCTTTTTCTGCCGGTAATGCGTGCTTTGGCTTGACAGGCTGTGCTGACTCCGACTCGAGGTAAAGCTTTAGTGTATCGTGGGTGTTGTTCTGCTCTAACAGGAGCATTGCTGCGAGAACTGAGTGTCTCTGCTGTGGTACTTCACAGCCAGCTGGGAGGCTGCTGCTTAGTGTGAGCTGACTCACTAGCAGCTCTGGGCGTGGCGTGCCTGGCTGCAGCTAATGGGGTGTCTGCAGTTCCTATGGGCATGTGAGGGTGGGGTTTTCTGGTGGGCCACAGTGAGCTTGCTTGTTAGTGACAGAATGATGTTGTTAGTGTCTTGTCAGAAGCCCTGGGCCCTGATCTACTAGAAGAAGGCTGTTCAGCTGCTTCCTGGAGCTGAGGGTTCGTGCTTGGTGTTTTTCAGACTTCGGCATCAGGCTGAGCTGAGAACAGGCTGTTCAATTGCTTCCTGAGACTGCAGATTTGTAATGCTGCCCGCCTGTTTTCCAGGAGCCTTGGTGAACCAAGCCAGTTACAGAAGGCCACTTGGCTGTTTCCTGGGACTGTGGGTGGGTGAGGAGGCCACCATCTGCTTCCTAGGACCTCAGTTGCTCAACCTGCTTAGGGGACACTGCCAGGCTGTTTCCTGGGACGGGGAGGGGGGTGGGTGGGTAGCTGAGGCTGCCTGGCTGTTTTGCAGGACCGGATTGTTCCTTCACAATCCAGTTGCTTAGGGGTTCCAAAGCGCCAGCACAAAGCAGGAGCCTACAAGTGGGAAGGGAAACATAGGCCATGTTTTTTCAGGACTATGCTGAGGCTGGGAATCCAGGAACTCAGAGCTTGTAAGCACTGCAAACCTGAGCAACAAATGCTATTCCTTGGATGGATGGGAATTGTTGAGTCTCCTGCTTGTCTACCCTTCTCCTATACCCCAGGCAGGGTCTCTAGCCCAAGCCAGTCTTGAGCTCCTTTTGTAGCTGGGAATGGCTGTGAACTCCTGGTCCTCCTGCTCCCACTTCTTAGTGCTGGGATTACGGGTGTGCAACACCATGCCTATTCCATAAGGTGGTGGGAACCAAACCCAGGGCCTTGTGCACACTAGGCAAGAATTCTATCAACTCAGTCACAGCCCCAACCCTTCTTATCTTTGCTATAGGGAGTGAAATCCCTCACACTCCAGGACTGATCTTGAAAGACCGTGGGAAATGCCGTGTGCTTAGTGCCCTTCTTTACAAGGTCAGCGTGCTCCTCCACACCGCACAAAGCACATACAGCTTCAGCCTCAAATCTTCAGCTGAGGGACATAGTCTAGACACCTGTAGTAGGCATTGTGCTCTCAACCTCCAGTAGGGGGTGCCAGCTGAATTAGTCTCTTTCTTGGGTTATTTTATAGGTGACTTGATATCTGGGGGTGGAATAGGGAAACAGAAACATGAGATTAAGAAAATGTACACCAAGGACTGAAAACATGACAAGCTACAATGACATCTGCTCTTTGTCTATGAATCTGTGCTCTTCAACAACTGGTCTAAGCCATAAACCAATGAGGACAGGAGCAGCCTGTCTTCCCATTGGTTTAAATTCGCACCATCTTGTTGGACACTGGTGGCACACATCTTTAATCCCAGCACTCTGAAGGCAGAGGCAGGTGGATCCCTAGAGAGCAAGTTCCAGGACAGCCAGGGTTACACAGAGAAACCACATCTGGAAAAAATAAACAAACAAATAACAACAAAAATCCTCAACATTTCCCCTCTGGAGTGCTGAGCGAGCCCTGCCTGACAGGTTATTTCCAGAATAGTTGGTGTCACTGGTCTGAGTAGAGAGGTGAAGCCGAGTGCCGCTTTCTAATAGGGTTTTCTCTAGCTTCTCTAAGTCATTGTCAAAAAGTTTAAATTAATCTACTTATTTCTTGCAACAGGGTTTCACATAATCCCAGCCTAGCTTTGAACCCTTGAACCTCTGGTCTCCTGGCTTATGCAGTGGATAGAACTCGGGGCTTCATGCATGCTGGGCGAACATCTGTCAAGTCAGCTGCATCCCAAACCCGTTCTCACATTTTACAGAGCTAGCTGCAGCGAGTTTCTACTCAAGTGCTTCCTACTAGGGCCAGTGCTATGTCAGTGGGTAGAAGTGTCTGCTGCCAAGTCTGACAGCCTGAGTTTGATGCTCGGGACCCACGTGATGAGAGCTGTCCTCCGGCCTTTACATGTGCAGTGCGATGTGATCACCGCCCCCAAATAATAATCATTTTTAAACATTTTAAATGATTCTTACTAGTACAACATCTGGTCCAGATTTTTTCAGGTACTGGCTTAGAACTCATACCCCCATGCATGCTAGGCGACACAACCAGGAGGCACGTCCAGAATTTCCTCAGACACATACTTTTCAGCGACATAACCATGACCAGAGTCCAGTGTCCTGTTCGCCCTTTGGTGAACATTTTTCCATGTAATTCAAGATAGAAAAATACTGGATGAATGAATGACTGCATGGACCTCGGCTTGTCCACAGCTTCTCGTCTAATGGACTCCATGCCCTGAAGAGAGACGCTCAGCCGCCTCTTGCGATCTGAAGCAATGACGGGCAGTTTGTGTCACATGTGCACAATCTAGATGCCTGCTGGCGCCTCCTCTCCTTCTGCCTCTCTCCTGCTAGGCCGGGCCTCAGTGCCAGGACAGAGGCCCAGTCCTCTTGCCTTAGTGTAACCAGATTCTGAAGGCCATTTCGGGTCCAGGCCCTGCGACATCCTGTCTTCATCACTTCCTAAGAGCTCTCTATTTTAAACCTCCCACAAGCGACTCCGCCTCAGAGCCTTCTTCCCTGGGAATTGAGCCTTTTCACTTTTCTGTTGCAAAAATAAAAGATGAAAGCAGGGAAATCTGCATAAGGCTGTGTGTGGCTGGAAGCTTACAATCCCCCCCGAGTGTGCTTCCATCACCAGCAGGAGCTGGTCTTCTCTTAGAGCAGGCACCGGGGTGCACGCCGCTAACCGCTAACCTCGACACTCAGGGTGGACACGCAGGGTGGGGAGGTGAAGGCAGGAGGACCAGAAGGTTTAGGGCAGCCTTGGCATATAGTGAGCTTGAGGTCAATCTGAGATATAGAAGACCTGTCTCAAATTATTTTTAAATTTCAATTTATATGCTTCGAAATTGTGTTAGCTCTAGAGTTATTTTATACTTACCTCTATCTTTAACTGTGTGTATGTGTGTGCTCACACGTGTGCCCAGAGGGTGGAGAAAAGGGTGTCATGTCCCCCCGCCCCGGAGCCAGTCATTGGGATCTGGGTTTGGGGAACTGAACTTGAGTTCTGCAACGTGCAAGAGTAGCACATGATTTTAACCACTGAGTTGCCTCTCCAGCCCCATTGAATATTCTGTTTGAGATTCGGTTTCTGTACATAGCCCTGGCTGGCCTGGAACTCATTTATGTAGACCAGGCTGGCCTTGAACTCACAAAGATCCTCCTGCCTCTGACTCCCAAGTACTGGGATTAAAGGCGTGCACCACCATTGCCCAGTCCCCATTTATATTTCTGTAAGATAGTAAAGCTGGAGAGATGGCTCAGCAGTTGAGAACACTGTTGCATCTTCCAGAGAACCTGACTCAGCTCCCAGAACCCAATTCAGTCTGGTTATGATCATATGTAACTCAGCTCCAGGAGATCTCACACCTCTGGCCTCCACAGGCACCTACACTCACACGCAGATATCCATATGCAAGCATACACATATCTACACATAAGAATGAATCTAAAAAAGACAGTAAAACCACACCATGTTGTGTATTTATTGTATCTTACAGACCATGCTCTAACATAGTATTTCATGATTGTTGAGGCAGGGCCCCACACAACGCAGGCTAGCCTCAAACCTGCTGTGAAGCTGAGGATGACCTTAACCTTCTCATCTTCATGGCTCCATCCCACCAAATGCTGAGAACCACATACTTGGATTATGCAGTGCTAGGGACAGAACTCTGGGCTTCAGAACGCACACTAAGTAAGCATTTAGATATAACTGAATCATATCCCTAGTCCCAAAATTAACTCTGAAATTCCTAGAGCGGTATGGGACTCTCCAGATGTCCTCGGGTTGCCTGACAAAGGCAGGCACAAAATCTTTCTATGAACATGTTAGCCCATACCTCCACAGAGAACCACCAATCCCCACTCTCTTTCATCTGTTATTTTTCTTGCGTACTGAGGTTGAATCCCAGACCTGGACATACTGTACAAGTGCCGTACCACTGACCTATTAGCCCCAGCCCTTCACAGTTCCAGCTCAAGATATGCATATGTGTGTCAGTGAGATAGCTCAGTAGAAAAAAAAGGTGCTTGCTGCCAAACCTAATGACCTGAGTTCAATTCCCAGAGAACCAACTCCTGACATTATTCTCTGACTTCCACATGTGTCATAGCATGTACACATACACAATCACAGGTGCACAGACAAGAGCACACACACATTACAATTTGGCTCTGAAATGTCCCCTGCAGGTTTGTGTTTCAAGTGGTTTATCCCTAGCTTGCAGGGCTCCTCTGAAGTGTGTAGAGCCTTTAGGAGGTGGCACCTGATTGGCACAGTAAGGAGTTATTTTAACATTAGGCTCACCCACCCACTCCCTGCCAGGCTTAACCAAGAGCTGCCTGTCTGATGCCACGTTGAGGGGCTGGAAAGATGGCTCGCTGGCAAAGAGCATGGGTTGCTGTGCCAGAGGACCTGTGGTTCAGTTCCCAGCACCCACATGACAGCTCACAACCATCTGTTACTCCAGTTCTAAGGGATCTGACAATCTTTTCTGGTCTCTGTGGGCACCAGACATGCAAGTGGTGAACAGACATAAAAGTAAGCAAAAAACCCATAAACACAAAATAACTTTTAAATTGAGACTGTTGCTTCAAGATTCCTTTATTTCTATTTTGTGTGTGTATTGTTTGTTGGTTTGAGTTTGTGCATGTGAATGCAGCACCTCGGAGGCCAGTAGAGGGCACTGGATCCCCAGGAGACGGAGTGACAATTGTGTGCTACCTGACATGGGTGCTGGAATCTGAACTCAGGTCCTAGGGGAAGAGCATCAAGAGTCCTTCACCTCTGAGCCATCTCAGCCCCTGCTTGCTTTCTTATGCTCAGTTCTTACAGTCTGATGAACTTTTGTACATACCTGACAACATACATTCTTTCACTCATTAATTATTTAGAGACAGGGTATATTTGTGTAGCCTTGGTTGTCCTGGAACTAGCTCTTTAGATGAAGCTGGCCTCAAACTCAGAGAAATTCTCTTTCTGCCTCCTGAGGGCTGGGATTAAAGGTGTGTGCCACCACTGCCCTGCTGACATATACTCTTTATATAATGGAATTATCAGATATGTGACGCATATTATCTCAACTACCATTTTTCACTCAATTTTTTTTTCAAGAGAGGGTTTCTCTGTGTAACTCTGACTGTCCTGGAACTTGCTTTGTAGACCAAGTTGGCCTTAAAACCAGTAAAAATGTTTTTTAACTTTATGATAAAGTCCTATTATTATTATTATTATTATTATTATTATTATTTGGCAACACTCAAAAATCAAATTATGTAAAGCACTGGGAAGGCAGAGGTAGGTGGGTCATTGAGTTCAAGGCTAGGACTACACAGTAAGATCCTATCTCAGAGAGAGAGAGAGAATATAGCCATCTACAGCATTTCACAATAACGTCCAACTGTGATCCAAATACAGTTAATTCTACAAGGACCAAGTAGTCTGAGCTAGGGCTACCACTTCCTCAAAATGTTGGTTGTCTTTATTCTACAGTGATCCAAAGTGATTTTGATATTTTATCCATCTATCTTCAGAAGACTATTTAAAATGTCTTTATAAGGATTGGAAAGACGGCTTAGTGGTTAAGAGCACTTGCTACTCTTCTAAAGGACTCAAGTTCAATTCCCAGGACCCACATAAAAGCTCGTGACTATCTACAACTCCAGTCCCAGGGGATCCAATACCCTCTCCTGACCTCTGCAGATACTGAACGCTCATGGTGCTTAGACATTTACACAGGCAAGGGAAAAACTGTCTTTTTAAGAACACAGAGAAGCAAGCCATATTATTTTATCTGCAGAAATAACCTCATGACTTTGGAAAACAGTGGTTACTTTCATTAGAGAGCTGGCAGAAAATGTTCATTTTTTTATCAACTTAATATTTTAGAAATTAAACATCAATTTAATGTAGTGTTTTATATTTAGCAGTACTGTTTCCCATGGGATGAAAAGTCACCAACTTGGTAAAGTGCTTCATTGGCAAATAGCTTTGCTAAGACCAAAACACCTACCAAAGGGGAAGGAAAGAGTCCCACCTCCCCAGACATCCGGTCACCAGGTCAGGCTGCCTGCCGGTGAGGAGGGAGGGCACATCTGTGTCCTCAGAACACTGCAGTACTCTGCAGCCCTCAGCCTGTTGCTCATTCGCAACACGCCACTTCAGAGAGAAACATCGCATGTCCAGGACTTTGGCTAGTCATATATTTAAAGTTAGAGGGAGCAGAGACAGCTTTTGTCCTGGAAGCTTTACTGCTTCTGAGTTGGTGCATCACAGTACGGAACGTTTTCTGTTAGAAGATCTTTCCTGGGGACCAGCTCTACAAGAACACAGAAAAACGAGTGGTTAAGATGATTACAACGGCAGTTACTATCTATCCTCAAAACAGACCTAAGTGCCCACACGCCCACTTCCCCCACAGGTTCCAACTGTAAACTGTCTGGTTTAGGAACCATGAAGAGAACTCTTCTAGAGACATTTTATTTCAGTTGATATCTGAGGTGAAATCTTTGACTCTAAATGAAGGCATTTAATAAAATCCTTATTCATGTTACATAAAAACATACAACTGAGTCCATCATTTTACTAAACATGACTAATTAAACAAATGAACAGAATTAAGCTAAAAACACATTATTGACCAGCTGTCAATTGCTTATTAAAAATGTCACTTAGGAATGGTTTTTGAGGGAGGGTCTAATATAGCTCAGGCTAGTCTTGAACTCCCGATATGGCTGAGGCTAACCTTGAACTCCTGATCCTCCAGCCTCCACCTCCCAATGAAGGGATTAGAGGTTATCAGACCTTGCTTGGCTACTTAGAAATTTTTATAGAAAGCAAGACATCACTCTCATAATTTAGACAGTCCTCATCTACAGAACAGTGGTTCCCCTCCCCTCTCATAATTTCCCCTCTCTTTTCCTCCCTTCCTTTTTGTTTTGGTGCTGGGAACCAAACCCAGGCCCTCATGCATTGCTAAACTTGTATCCTACCACTGAGCTACATCCTGATCCTTAACAATGGTTCCTAAGTGAGGCAGTCTTCAGACAGGTCACTTAGGGGATGCTACTAGAAATTTACTGGGCAGGAGCCAAGGATGCTAGCTGCAATGTGAGAGGCAGTCTGGTGCTGGGAAGAACTGTCATTACAGAATGACAGCAGTGCCCCACTGAGCCACACTGCTAAACAACCAACAGCTGCTGGCTCCTATGGAAGACAACTTGATACAGGCAAAATAAAACTGTTAAAATAGAAAATTTATGGGCCTTGGAGACTACTCAGTGCTTAATGTCCTTGCTATGATAATGTGAGGACCAGAGTTCAGATTGCCTGGAAAACTAGCCATATCAGGGAATTGTGTGCTTAACTGAGAAATCCTGCTTCAGTGAATAAAAAGATTGATTGAAGACAATTCCCAACATCGGGTATCAGAAGGGGTCCATAAGCACATATACCCACATGCATGTAAAAACATTTGTGTGGGGATGGAAAGATGGCTCAGAGGTTAAGAACACTGGCTGCTCTTCTAAAGGTTCCAAAGGCCCTGAGTTCAATTCCCAGCAACCACATGGTGGCTCACAATCATCTGTAATGAGATCTGGTTCCCTCTTCTGACTTACAGGCATACATGCAGGCAGAACACTGTATATATAACAAATAAATCTTTTTAAAAAAATGTGTATGCTCAACACACAAGATACACACACACACATACACACACACACACACACACACACGAAAAATGGAAAAAGGAAAAAAAAAAAAAACAACAACTGCCCAGAGATACTGGTGCATGCCTAGGCAAAGGCAGTGAGATCTGCATTCAAGGCCAGCTTCAGGACAAAGCATGACCACATTGGTCTTAGATACAGTGAGACCCTGTCTTAAAGTACCTGGGTTTAATACTCAGCACTGAAAGCCAAAAATAAATAAATAAATAAATTTAATTAAATTGAAGAGATACATCACTTTCCCTTTGGAGAAGAGCTGAACCCAGGTACATCATCCTTGTACTGCCCAGTGTGGTGGCTCACACTGTAACCTGAACTGTTGGGAGGCTAAAACAGGAGGATCACCATGAATTTGAGGACAGTTTGAGCTACAGAATGAGTTCCGGACCCATATAACTAAAGACTAAAATCTGTCTTAACAAAAGCAGAACCGGGGATGTGGCTCAGTAGAGTGCCTGCCTACGTGCATTAGGCCCTTGCGTTGTACCCTGTAGTGTTACACACTTATAATCTTGACTGTCAGGAGGTAGAGAAGGAGAATCAGAAGTCAGTCACGACTATCTTCAGCTACACAGGAAGTTTGAGGTCAGCCTGGGACACAGGAGATTCTGCGTCAAAAAAGAGAGAACAAATGTTCCCCTAACAGCCACTCTCAAAACTGCCCACATTGGATACAGTGTGGAACCTCAGTGGCATCCCAGACCACAGAGATGCTAGAAAGGACCTTGTTAGGACAAAAGAAAAAAATGTAAATTAGAGTATTGCATTAATGCTAATACCCTAATTCCGATAATTAAACTGTGGTTAAGAAATGTTCTTTAAGGGGACTGGGCTCACACCTTCATTTCCAACACTCAGGAGACAGACAAAGGTGGATCTCTGAGTTCAAGGCCAGCCTGGTCTACACAGCAAGTTCCTAACAGCCAGAGCTAAATAGTGAGATCCTGTCTTAAAAAGCAAACAAACAAAACAATAAAAAGAAACGCATATTAAAGTATTTTTGAAGATTGAGTTTTACTTACATGCACGAATGGGTGTCTGTGTGTATATGCATGTGTATATGTGCCCCAGGAGGCCAAAAGAGTAGGTCAGATTCCCTGAGCTCTAAAGTGACAAGTGACCGTGAACCACCAATGTGGGTAATTAGAAAAGGAACATCAGTTCCCTGGAAGATCAGTATGGGCTCTGAACGGCTGAGCCATCTCTCCAACCCCACATTGAATTACTTTAAAGAAATTGTTGGGGGCTGGAGAGATGGCTCAGTGGTTAAGAGCTGGCTGCTCTTCCAGAGATCCTGAGTTCAGTTTCCAGCAACCACATGGCGGCTCACAGCCATCTATAAAACTGATGCCCTCTTCTTAAATGCAAACATACATGCAGACAGAGCACTCATACCAAAAGAGAGAAAGAGAGAAATTATTGATATGTTGGCATAATCCTATAATCTTAGCACTTGAGAAGTGGGTGCAGGAGGATCAGGAGTTAAGTTCAGCCTGTACTACACAAGATCCTGCTTAAAATTTTTTTTTAAAAAAAGAGCAACAAACAAACTCTAACTCCACCTAGAAAACTCCATCTAGAAGTCATTTGCACTTGAGAGAGTTGACAAGATGCCTCAGAGAACAAGAGCACTTGCCACCATGCCTGACGGTCTGAATTGGATCCCTGGGCCCACACTGTGGAAGGAAAGCTATCATCTGATCTCCATTGCACACCATGACACAGGCGATAAACACCCCACCACACTGTAAGTTAAATAATAAAACAATGGGCCATATGGTAAATCCAGCTTATGAAACAAGAAAGCCTCTGCTTATTTCTGACCTGTAATTATTCTTAACCAGTTCTTTGGTGCTCCCATCCAAGAAAGTAATAGTGTTGGTTTTAAGCTAAATAACAGTGGCAATAATTTATTTCACTTATCAAACATATGTGTCTATTTTACGCTAGGTATCACATCAAAAAATGAGATGAAGGTAAACATGAAAATTTCTTTGGCAAGCCAGGCAGTGGTGGCACACACCTTTAAACCCAGCACTTGGAAGGTAGAGGCAGCGGACCTCTGTGGGAGGCCAGCCTGGTTTATAGGCAAATCCAGGACAGTCAGAGCTACAGAATAAGAGATCCTATCTCAAAAAAAAAAAATTTTTTTTTACTTCAAAGTGGTTCATAATTTATTGGAAAAGATAAACAGTCACACAATAACATAAGGCTTCACAAATGTCTTTTATAGCGAAAATGCAAGAATTTGAGTCTATTACACTGAAGAATAAATTACTAAACCCATCAATATTACTTTAGATTATGTTCAGCTTTGAATAAGCAGAAATCTACCAGTGCTTTGTAAGATTTAGCTTTCTGGGGCTGGAGAGATGGCTCAGCGGTTAAGAGCATTGCCTGCTCTTCCAAAGGTCCTGAGTTCAATTCCCAGCAACCACATGGTGGCTCACAACCATCTGTAATGAGGTCTTGTGCCCTCTTCTGGCTTTCAGGCATACACACAGACAGATTATTGTATACACAATAAATAAATATTTAAAAAAAAAAAAGATTTAGCTTTCTTCCACTGTGAACACAGCAGGCTTGAGCTAGTGCAAGTCCTCGGTGCTGCTAAGAACCCAGGACCGCCTTCCCTCCCAGTCTGAACAGCAGTCTGCCTTCCCTCCTCTATCACCACCTCTGCACGGCAGGCAGGAAGAACAAAGGGCAGGAGGGGAACCCCACCCAGACCATTTCTTTTCAACAAAACAATAGCTTCAGTGGAAACAACACTCAGTAGTTAGATGCGTGTAAAAGATGCCAGACAATCTAGGAAAGAACATTGCAGCCTTACTCTTGGCCCCTCTCTGAGTGTGCAACAGGGACATACGCATTCACGGAACACTCCGGTTAGGGCCTGTCCCCGAAGACCCAGTGCTGGTCTGTTGTGCCCACTGGGTTCATCTGTGGCTCACATTGTAGACACTTACCCCACTTTAGTTGGAAATAAATAGAAATAAATGAAGAGATGAAAAATAAATAAATAAATCACCATTTAAGTCCAGGCAGTGGTGGCACACGCCTTTAATCCCAGCACTCGGGAGGCAGAGGCAGGCGGATCTTTGTGAGTTCGAGGCCAGCCTGGTCTACAAGAGCTAGTTCCAGGACAGGCTCCAAAGCTACAGAGAAACCCTGTCTCGAAAAACAAACAGACAAAAACAAACAAACAAACAAAAAAGATAAAGATATACATGAGACTGGGAATCCATGCCAGTGCTCAGGCCACAGAAAACCCTAAATCCTAGGGACAGGAAAAGGTAAACTTCTTAATTTGGTAATGAACTAATCCTCGGTCTGACAATCTGTCAATACCAAATTCTATTTTCAAGAGACTCAAAGCCCTGCTCTGATGCACTCTACTACACAGATGCCAGATCTAGCCCCTGAGCCACTTCCTGTCTTGGGGAGATGGAGATCTTGGGGAAGATAGCCTTTTTTGGGAGCTTCAAAAGCTTCCACAGTCCACTTCCTGTTAATCTGAGTTCAGGAGAGCAGGAATGACTTTCAGAGTTGAAGTAAACTCCACAAGCCTGGGTTTCTTAGCAATACA